ACCTGAGATGTCACTTTCCTGCTCAAAAGCCTTCCCATGCTCCCATCTGCCTCAGAATGAAAGACAACATCTACACATAAACTGAAAACCCATCCTACATGATCTCCTGACATCACTGTCAACCCCCCACCCCCCACATCACCTCTCTGACCTCATCTCCCACTCCCCCATCTATCCCTCTGCTCTAGCCACACTGGCCTCCTTGCTGATCCCTGAACTCTCCAGTCAAGTCCAACCACAGGGCCTTTGCACTTATTGTACTCTTAGCTTAGGAAGTTCTTCCCCAAGAATCCCATAGCCCCCCGCCCCCTAACCTTCAAGTCTTTGCTCAAATGTCACGTTCTCATTAAGCTCTTCCATGGTCAAATCACTGAAAATTACAGCTGCTCCCCCATCCTCTGGGATGTATCTCTCCACCGAACTTATCACAGTCTAATATACTATATATTTCACTTACATTTCTGGGGTACAGTCTGTCTGCCTAACTAGAGTTTAAGTTCCATGAGGGCAAGTCAGGGATATTTACTTGTCTTGTATCCTCAGGGCTTTGCATATGCCTGTCACTCTGTGAATACTTGGTGGGTTAATTGAATTAATGGATGCTTCAGTGGATGGGTATATTGTAGGATATATAGAGATCCAGAGGAGAAGAAAGAGGAAGAAGACAGGAAAAGACCTCAACTCACCTTGAAAACACAAAGGCTTCCCTTAACTCAAGGCAGAATATACTTTTAAAAAAAACAAAAAACTCTCTCATCCCCACAACCAAATACTCAATCTCCAAACCCTGTCCCTCTTGCCTCCTCAATATTTCTTGTTTCTTCCAATATTTCATGATGGGTATTTTCAAACACCCAGAAAACCGCAAAGACTTTACAGTGAACATACACCATGCCACCTAGCTTCTACCATTAACATTTTGCTATATTTATTTTATTATATTTCCACCCATCACTCCAGCTTATTTTTTGATGTGCTTCAATGGCAGTTGCGGCCATCAGGCCACTGTCCCCTAAGTCTTTCAGCCTGTCTATCAAGATATGTTTACCTTTCCTATTTTCTATTTTGGAGGTAAAATTTACATACAACAAGGTGCACAGATCTGAATAGTCCCATTCACTGAGTTTTGGCAGATGCTTATCATATGCCCGTATAACCCAAACCCCATCGAGATAAAGAGCCACTGTCCTGATGTTTTTTTTTCCACCCAGGGATTAGTCTTGCGCATTCTGGAACTTTATATAATTGAAATCATATAGGATATCTTTTATGTCTGGGCTTCTTTCATTCCTTTTTCTTGCTGAGAAGTATTCATTGAAGGGATGTGCCACAGTTTGTCCATACTGATATACTGATATGTTGGTGAACTTTATTATCTCTTCAGTCTGTCTCATTCTTCACAGCCACGGCCTCTTCCTTGGCTCAGGCATCTCTTCTTCACTCCCAGGTCTGTACCCCAACCTTTGTCCTGCTCTGACCTCCAGTCTCACTCCTGTCATTCACCGTCCACATAGCGACCCATGGAGTCTTTATAAAGCACACACTGGGGTTCCTGTCCCACTCAAAACTCTGCCATGGCTCCCCAGTGCTCCCAGGAGATTGCCCTTGCCTCTTGAATGGCTTTCAGACCTGATTTGATCTCTCCTGCCTGCACAGCTCCACCATCATCTCCCACCTCCTGTCTTTACACTCTGGGTTGCAGCCGCCCCCCAGCCCTCCCCTTTGGTAACTGCTCATCCCTTCTTGGACTCTGTGAGTCTGCTGCTGTTTTGTTCCTTCCGTTTTGCTTTGTTGTTAAGAGTCTACGTTTCAGGTCACTCAAGCTCTCTCTTGTCGCCGAGCCATCGCATTCTCTTCCCTGTGCCCAGTATACTTTTCCCCGGCCTTCTCTTTACCTTCCTCACTCCTACTCATCCTTTAAGTCTCCTTTCAGATGTGTCTTCCAAGTCTGGGTGAGAGCCTTGCACCGAGTTCCCACAGTCCCTGGTGGCTCGGACCATGCTATGTTTTAATAAAAAAAAAAAGATCTCCTCTAAACTTCAGTTCTAGGAACAAAACCTGTCTCTTCAGACAGACAAGAACATATCCTTTTAGCAAAATTTAGAAACCATTTCAACAAACACATTTCCTCTATTGCCCTACTGCCAGCAACTACCAAGTGAAGCTTAATGCTCACCCAGATCATAGATGCCTGCTGCATCTGTATATATAAGTTTTAGTGTTTGTTTAACAAGTGCCAATTTTCCATGACTTGGATAGCCTCTGCTTCCTCGGACAGAACACTGCTTCCCCTGCAACCATTTCTAATATAGGCCTCTCGCTTTCTCATATACCACAGGCCTCCAAACTGAGGCTTGGGAGATATTTTTTGTTACCAAGATTCTTTTTTGGGTGTAAGCAGCTGAAATCAACCCAAACTAATGTAAGCACAGAGCAAATGAATAAAGCAATATTTAACAATAATAGCAAAAACCAAAAAATTCATAATGGTTCCAAGATTAAGTGAAGTTCAGGTATGGCTGGATCCAGGCACACAAGCGCTGGTGTCAAGACTGTCACAAACTCATTTCTGCTTTCCTTGAATTGACTTTCATCTCATAAAGCCTCTCCATTCTTGGTGATAGGGTGAGCCCCATCTGCTCCAGGCTCGGGGCTCACCAACTTGGTAACTCCTGCAGAAATAGAGACCCTCTTTCTTGATAGTTTCAGCAAATGTCCTGGGGTTAGTTCTCTCTGGGCTAGGTTAGGTCACATGGCCTCCCTGAACCAATCATTGTGATCAGGGAAACAGAATAAACTGATTGGCTAGGTGTGGATCTTTTGTCCCTGGAGCTGGTGAGGGGAGGGTTATGGCCAGCCCTGTTTTTTTTTTTAATTCAATTTATTTATTTATTAATGTATCATTGATATACACTCGTATGAAGGTTTCACATGAAAAACGTTCCGGTTACTGTATTCAGCTGTATTATCAAGTCCCCCTTATATCCCATTGAAGTCACTGTCCATCAGTGTAGTAAGATGCCACAGAGTCGCTACTTGTCTTCTCTGTGCTACACTGGCTTCCTCGTGACCCCCCTCCATACACCATGTGTACCAATCATAATACCCCTCAATCCTCTCTCCCTCTCTCCCTGCTCCCCCTCCTTCACCCCCTCTTTTTGGTAACCGCTAGTCCCTTCTTGGAGTCTCTGAGTCCGCTGCTATTTTGTTCCTTCAGCTTTGCTTCATTGTTATACTCCACAAATTAGGGAAATCATTTCATTTCTCGGGGTTCGGAGGACAGAGGAGTCAGTGTGTCTTTCTCTGATGGTGTATTTCACTGAGCATAATACCCTCTAGCTCCTTCCATGTTGTTGCAAATGGTAGAATTTCTCTTCTCCTTATGGCTGAATAGTATTCCATTGTGTATATGTACCACCTCTTCTTTATCCATTCATCTACTGATGGACACTTAGGTTGCTTCCATTTCTTGGCTGTTGTAAATAGTGCTGCGATAAACACAGGGGTGAATAATTCTTTTTGAATGTGAGATCTGGTTTTCTTTGGATAAATTCCTAGAAGTGGAATTCCTGGGTCAAATGGTATTTCTATTTTTAGTTTTTTGAGGAACCTACATATTGCTTTCTACCATGGTTGAACTAGTTTTACATTCCCACCAGCAGTGTAGCAGGGTTCCCCTTTCTCCTCATCCTCTCCAGCATTTGTTGTTTCTAGTCTTTTTGATGTTGGCCATTCTAACTGCTGTGAGGTGATATCTCATTGTGGTTTTAATTTGCATTTGCCTGATAATTAGCAATGTGGAGCACCTTTTCGTGTGCCTGTTGGCCATCTGAATTTCTTCTTTGGAGAAGTGTCTGCTCATATCTGTCCATTCTTTAATTGGGTCATTTGCTTGTTGGGTGTTGAGGCATGTGAGTTCTTTACGTATTTTGGATGTTAACCCCTTGTCAGATATGTCATTTATGAATATATTCTCCCATATTGATGGTTTCCTTTGCTGTACAGAAGCTTTTTAGCTTGATGTAGTCCCACTTGTTCATTTATTATTTTGTTTCCCTTGCCTCTTGCCAGCGTGAAGCTCCATCCAGAATATTGTTCCACTGTGGATTAGCACCCCCTTTCTGCCAAGACACAGTCTGTTTCTTGTCCCAGTGTGATACTTTTACCACTCCTTGGTGACCTTGTTCCTCTCCCTCCTTACGTTGCTGGTGGGAAGATACACTTCTCTGCTCTTTCAGAAAGGGGGTGTGATTGGGTTTTCATATTTACTTAACGTAAACTTAATTATTCAACAGTGAGACCCTCTGCAAAGGGAGTTAGAGGCAGTGAGGTGCAGCTAGAATACCGCGGGTGCCAGCCTGCGGGCGTGGGGACGAGGCGGGCGGCACCGGTTGAAGGGCTGGGGACCGAGCGGGGATGGTGAGGAACAGAGGGGCAGGGGCTGTAGAACTGGGGTGGGGTGGGGAGTTGGGGGTGGCGAGGAGAAGTGGGGGACTCAGTGGGAAGGAAGAGGACGTCGTGGCGGCAGAGCTGGGCGACTTGGAGGCTGTGGGACTGGAGGCTGGAGGGACGCGCCGCGGTGGCGGTCGGAGAGTGGCGCTGGCTCTAAGGGACAGAGGGGACCGGCTGGGTTCGGCAGGGCACTGGTGCCGAGACTTCGCGGGAGACCCCGGGCCCGAAGGCGGGGCCCGCAGCCGCCGCTGGCCACTCGGCCGAGGGAGTCCGCGGCGAGGGGTGTGGCTGGGGGCGTACTCCACGGTACCTCCACTCCTCGGGCCTTCCAAGTCTTCGCTCCTGGTCCCGCCTCTTTCTCAGAAGTGGCGGACCGGTTGCCCAACCGGAGCCGCGGGCCGGGCTCGGCGCAGCCAACGAGGCGGCGGGGGAGGAGCTGGGGAGGGGGCTCGCAGGGCCCGGGGAGGGGGCTAGGGGCCTCCGAGGGCGTCCCGGCGGCGACGGCGAGCCATGGCGCTGGGGCTACAGCGCTCAAGGTAGTGTGGTTGGGGGCCAGGGATGATGGGAGTCGGGGGGCTCACCTTCTAGGGACCCCTGAGCCGCGTTGGGGATGCGTGGGTGCAAACCAGGGACGCCCCCGGACGCGCGGCTGGAGGCACGTCCCCGCCGCACCCTCTACCCTGGGGGATGTTGGGGTGGGGGTGGCCCCAAGTTTCCCGCTGCTCCGCCCCTCTAGCCAGGAGCGACTTCAGGGTAGCGATCCCCCAATTTCCTACTGCTTCTGCGTCGTTTCCCCTCTTGGTGGGGGCGGTGAAACTCGGGGTCCTCACGGAATTGAAGCTGGTTGCCTTTGAGCAGTTGCCGGGCTGCTTTTGCGGGGGGCATTCTCCCTCCACACAGACTCCTCTGTCCTCCGAACCCCCAGAATTGAGGTCGTTCCTTGCCACAGACTCCTGGGATCCTAGGGGATATGGGGTACCCCCAAACTGAGCCTTCCCAGATGTAAGTTCCTTGGAATGGGGAGCCAGCTTCTGAATTCAAGAGAAGCGAGATCCTTTTTAACTGGACCCTTCTGGCACAGGCTCCCGAACCTTGGGTTCCCAAGAAATAGGCTGGGGGAGTTCCTCTTTCAGAGGCTACTTGGGATCCTTCCCAGGGACCTTTCTGTATCTTTTGCAAAGTAGAGTTGCCCCCTTTAATACCAGGGAAACAGCCGGACCACTTCCCAAAGTCTAGCCCCTCACCTCAGTCCCTGTGACCCTGGGACGGAGGGGGGACCCACCCAAGCCTTATTTTGTGAAGCCCCCCGTGGAGGGCGCGCTGCTGGTTCCGTGCAAGCTGCGCTGGCGGCCCGCCCTGCCGCAGTGCCCCGCGGGTCATCCCGGGCGGAGGAGGTTTTTCTGAGTTCGTCTCCCAGCAGGTGCCGTTCTGCAGGGGCAGCAGGGAGCCTGTGTCCTGGGTCCACTGCCAGGGAGGGGTCCTATCTGGCCATGTTTTCATGGGACCTGGGGAAATGTTCCAGACCCTTAGCCTCCCCTGTCCAATCTGAGACCTCCAGGAAGCCTCACCCCCTTCCCTCCTCCCTGGCTTCGTGGGTCTGATTGGATCCATCCACACAGCCCCCATGTTTATTACCTCCCCAAGCCGTTCGCCGCCCCCCAACCCCCGCCCTCCCATTCTATTCCAGGCTCTGGCTCTGGGCCTGCCAGGGAAGTCCATCCCACCCCTTCTGGGCCATCCCCAGCCCAGCCCCGCCCTGTGCCCCCTCCTGGTTGGGTGGGGGGGCCCCTCCTGGGCTGAGCTGGGGTGCTCCCTCTCCCCACCCAAGCCCAGCCCTTTCCTGTGGTGTCATCCCGGTGCTGCTCACCACTCACTCGTAACTTGCACCCGGACCCCAGCCACACTCCGTCCCCTCCTGCACCCCTAAGGATGGCACTTGGGCCAAAAAGAGGCTGGGTGATGGTGAGTGGGTCCCCCGCCCCATACGCCCTCACCCCCTTTTCTTCTTCCAGCTCGGGCTTACTGCCACCCCAGCCTGGGCAGGAATGTTCTTGGGAAGACCCTAATGGGGCTCTGGGTGCCCCCCAAATCAGAGGGTTTCCAGAGAAGATAGGACTTTGGGTTCAGGCACCCTGCTAGACTATCATGTCCTTAGGAATGAGCAGAGTCAGGAGCAGGGAAACTCTCCCCAACACCCATCCCCGGGCTGTTCTCAAACCCAGACCCTGCCTCTGGCCTCTTACGCCACCTCTGGGCGGTGCCAAGAGGGATCCCTGCCCAGATACAACCTAAGGTCCCCCAAATCCTCTATACTTCTGGCAAGACCCCCAGTACCCAGCTGAGTGTCAGGAGAGGGGCCCAGGATGGGCCCTGAATGTGGGGCAGGGGCCTGCTGCTCTCTGGGCCTTTGCTTTGCTCACAGGTGGCAAGGTCTTCAGGTGGCCCTTCTCCCTCTCTTGGTGGGAGGGGGGGCACCAGGCCCCAGCCCCCGTTCCCAGGCCTCACCCTGGGGCCTCCAGGCCCTGGGCCCGCCCCCTGTTCTCTGCTGGAACACAGCAGAAGGGTGGCAGGGTTCCAGCTGCACGTCCCAAGCTGGGCAGAGTGCCAGGGGGCTGGACCAGGGCTGGGCAGGGGGCCAGCTGGGGAGATTGGCCAGCTGGGGAAATCCGGAGGCAGCAGAGGTGGGACGAGGGGAAGGCACTGAGACCAGTGGGCAAAGGAGGGGTGGGGCAGGGGTGGTGGGCCTGAGATTACCAGTTGGGTTACATGGGCTGGTGATGCCATTGCCCAGAGCTGTGGCTCTGGCTTTGTAAAAGGGAGCTCACTCTTCCTAGTTCCCTGGGTTGTTGGAAGGATTTAGTGGGGTCTCTAGCTCAGTGAGTGTTCAGTATGTTAAAGCCATCACTACTGTTCCTATCACTATTATTTAGTTTTCTTCCCAAAGAGTTTATGTAGAAGTCAGGTATGTAATTGTACACACACACCGCACCACAGGGTTACAACAAAGGCCCATGGGTTTCTCCAGTGTCCACGAGGCTCCTAAGCCTTCCATCCCTGACGCAGACAAAGGTGGAATAATGAAAAGTTTGACCTCTATATAGCACTAACCAATTGCCAGGTCCTGTTCTAAATCCTTGACATCTATTAACTCACTTAATCTTCAAAATAAGCCTATAAGGTTGTGTTATTCTGCTTAGGGAGGCTCTGCAGCTTGTCCAAAGTCACGCAGCTAGTAAGTAATGCATCGAGATTGGAACCCTGAACTAGAAGAACCAGCCTCTAGTCTATTTAACAGAAAGGCCAGAGACCCAGGCATCTGTGCAGCCAGTGAGAGGCCCACACTTCCTGTCAAAAGAACATCCGGAGCTGGAAGGAGGGTCCCGTTGCAGCCACCAGCTGGCTCCTTCTACGACGGACGGAGAAGTCTGCCACAGAGAGGATTCCAGAGCCCAGCTGCCTGGGAGGTGGGGGGCGGCCCCAGCCTCCTGTTCCCACTCCCTGTTCCCTCTGTCAGGGGCCCCTAGCTGAATGAGGCCCGCCCACCCCCACCCTCTGGGCAGGAAGACAAACAGGGCTGGAACAGAACAGGACAGGACGGAATGTCCTCTGGGCAGAGCAGGACTGGAGGCCCCTGCCCCCCACCAGCCAGGAGGGAGGGGATGGGGTGATTGCTGGCTTCCTTCACCTCTCCACCCAGCCTGCCCCCTTCTGTGCCTCCTACACCCTTGCACGGAGGAGTGTTCTCCCCACCACAGCCAGCTGGAACAGTCCCCTCCCCTCCCCTCTCCCCTTCGTGCCCTTGGGTGGAGCAGCAGGTCTCCTGCTGGGGGTGAGGTTGATGTCACCCCAGAAGTGGCCTCTGGCTTTTAGGAAGGGATGGCCTCCCCTTCTGGAGTCAGCTTCCATAGGGCGAGTCCCAAGGGAGGAATTAGAGAAGGCAGGCTTCAGAACCTCACTACCTAGGTTCGAATCCCAGCTCTGGCAGTTACTGGTTTTGTGACTTTTCAGGCTCAGTTTCCCCTTTGTGAAATGGAGGTCTAAAGTGTTCATCACCTAAGGGCCCCTGGGGTTGAGTGAGTACACACAGGCAAGTACTCAGCACAGTGCCAGACACAGGAATGCTTAGCAAGTTATTAATGGTTTTATCGATATAAATATAGATAAGATTATATGTACTATATGTGATATACTCTTTTTAAAAAAAGTATAGAGTGTGGATTCAGACAGCTCTGGAGTTTAACTTTTTAGACAGTGGCAAAAACAGCACTAAAACCTGGAGCCAAATCCAGGGCCATTGCACAGAGCAAGTTGAAGACTTCAAGGCGGAGCGGTATTCCGACCCCGGCTTCACTCCTTACGAGCAAGCACCGCACCTTTCTGTACCTTGTTTTTTTCTTCTGTTCGATGGGATAATGTTACTACCTTCCTTCTAGGGTGGTCTGAGCTCTAAGTAGGTTAATATAAGTTACACACAAGGCACAGGGACTGACAAAATAGGAGAAGCTGGGTAAGTGGCAGGTACTTCTGACAAAATGATACTCACCCTTGTACCCCCAACCCACATGCCGAACTCAGGCACTGAACTGGATTAAAAAGTAGGGGTGAGTGGTTAGCTGTTGGCTGGACAGAACCTGGGGTTGGTTTGCTGTCACCCTGGCAGGGCCCCTGTTGGTGAGCCGTTGGACTTTGAGATCTGTGCTCCAAGATTCTGAGGACTCAGCCCAGCTGGAGGGGAAAGGGCAAGAGAGGGGGTTCTGGGAGACAGGGGCCCTAAAGGCTGTACGCATCTTCTCCCTCCCCTGGCTCCGGGCCAACTCGGCCAGCCCCCTCCCAGCAGGAGGCCTCCCTGTCCCCCAGGCGTCCCAAGCCCGGGGAATAAACAGCAGATAAGTCAGGGAGGGGACAGCGGCCCTGGGCACGCCTTGGAGAGGAGCGAGGCGCCGGGGGGCAGCGTGGGCTGGCGCAGGCACAAATAAAACTCGAGGCTAGGAGCGCCTCTCGAGTATAAACCTCCCAGGTCCAGAGAGCTCCGGGAGCAAGCCCGGGCCACACAGCGTCTGTGCAGTAGCGGCCCTGCCCTCTGTGAGCCCGGGCTCCATGTGGCATCACTCCACGTTCTTGGCCCATCCAACTCTTTCCCTTCCGGGGGCGCCGCCGGCGAATGATGCCGGTGCCCCCAGGTCGAGCACAGAGCTGCGCAAGGAGAAGTCCCGGGATGCGGCCCGCAGCCGGCGCAGCCAGGAGACCGAGGTGCTGTACCAGCTAGCTCACACGCTGCCCTTCGCGCGCGGCGTCAGCGCACACCTGGACAAGGCCTCCATCATGCGCCTCACCATCAGCTACCTGCGCATGCACCGCCTCTGCGCCGCAGGTGAGCCCCGCCCCCGGGAGTGCCTCCCTCGGCAAGGCCCCGCCCCTGGGAAATGCATCCCCGGGAGGCCCCTCCTCCGGGAATCCTTACCCCCGTAGGCTCACGCGCCCTGACATCTTCTCAGCGGAAGCCCACTCCCCGGGAAGTCCGCTACCCTGGCTTGGCCCCTCCCCCTCCGAGTTCTGGGCCAGTTGGAGCCTAGTTCTCTAAGAAGTCCCGCCCCCTTAGAAGTCTATCACTCTATCGCTTGTGAGGCCCCGTCTCTTGGGAAGCGCTCTTGGGAAGCTCCGCCTCGTTAGGGTTGGCGCTCTAAAGAATAGGAGGCCACCTAACTCCCTAAGGTGCCTCAGCCCCTAGGATTTGGTCCCTTGGGTGATCTCGGCTAAGCCTCGTCCCTTGTGATAAATACCCCTGAGAAGCTTTGCTGCCCAATTTTTCATTACATTACTGGGAGACCTTTCCCTCCCCAGCTCCCCTAGCTCTGTCACTTGTTCCCTTACTAGCCGTCCCTTTGAATTCTCACCTAGTCAGAATTCTGCTCTGCAGAGACTTTATTATAGGAAAAGTGGAGTCATCCTCCAGCAGGCTCAGCTCATTAGACCTCCCTGCCCTGTGGAATTTTATTTCTTTGGGAGACTCGGTCCCCTTAGAAGTCTCTCATCTGGGAGTCCCTGCCTCTTTAGAGTTTTGCCCGTCTGGAAGGTCCCGCCCCAAGGATTCCGAATCCCTGGGAAGCTTGGCCCTACTTATAATTCTGACTCTCCCTAGGCCCTGGTCCCTTAGAATTACAGCCCTTGGTGGCCCTGCCCTCGTCCTTGGGACTCCAAGCCCCTGAGATGTGCCTCACTCACCCAGGGGGTACCTTTAAGTTGCTCAGAGTGAGGAAACGCAGAGGGAGGCTAGCCAGGCTGGGCCCCTGGCTGACTGCAGTTGCCCCATCCACCCTGGCCCCAATATCAGGGCAGTGGAACCAGGTGGGAGCAGGGGGAGAACAACTGGATGCCTGCTACCTGAAGGCCCTGGAGGGCTTCGTCATGGTGCTCACAGCTGAGGGAGACATGGCTTACCTGTCGGAGAATGTCAGCAAGCACCTGGGCCTCAGTCAGGTGAGAGGAGCTGCCTGCCTGGTGCCTGGCCCTGCACGGGGATGCTGGGATACAGAGGTGACCAGGACTGCCTTAGTGCTGCCTTTACAGGGCTCACAGTCCAGAGTGGGAGAAGTGTCACCAGACAGGAAGAATCAGAGTGGTCAAGGCCAGGATGGGACAGCCTCAGGAGTGTGCAAGCCCTGGGGTTGGGAGGAGGTACCTGCCCCAGCCTGGGGGGTAACTGAGGGCTTTCTGGAGGAGAACTCATATGAGTTGAAACCTGAAGGATTTAATCAGTTAAAAGATCTGGGGAGTGGATGGAAGCAGTGAAGACTGGAATGAGGGAACAGAATATGCAAAGACCCAGAGGTGAGATACATTTAGGGGAATTGAAGACATTTATCCTGGTGAGGTGACGAGTACAGGGAGAAAGGTGAGAGAAAAATGTCAAGAGAGGTCAGCAAGGGTTAGATAATTTAGGGCCAAATTAGAACGCTTATAGCCAAGGCACAGGGGAGCTGTGGGAGGATTTTAAGCAGAGAGGAGGTTGTGTCAGAGAGGTAGAATCAGATTTACCTTTTTTACAGATCCTACCAGGTGCTGCACAGAGATAGAATCGGAGGGAGTGAGACCAGGGGCTGGGTGGATGCAGGGCGTTTGGTGGGAGAAGAGGTGTAGGAGGGGATGAGATGGGACTACAAAGAAGAGACACTTAGGAAGGAGAAATAATTTCAGCTCATCCGTATGGCAAGCCCCACAAGAGAGTTACCTTTCTTTTTCCTATTTCACATAAATGAGCTCCAGAGTTGGCATCCATCCGTTCCTTTTTCCTGCCTCATTATCCCACTCCTGGTACCGATTTCTCTGTTAGCTTGAGGTTTGGTGCTTAGAGAGGTGAAGGTCCCCCAGTCCTAAAGCTAGGAAGTGGCAGAGCAAGGATCTGAAGCCAGCTTCAAGAGGTACTGTCAGAGGAAGGAGATCCGGCTCGGCCTCTGTTGAGCATCACCACTGACTGCGAGCTGTGTGGGTTCCCTGTCACCCAAGGCGCCCCCAAGCCAGGACCAGGTTCATTTCCTGAATAGAAACGATGATGAACTGGGTCTTTGGCTGGTGAAACAGGCAGGATTTGAATGGGGTCTCACCTCAAATCGTTTGCACTTCCTGTTCCCTTTCCCCAGAACACTGTACCCCAGAGAGCCACAAGACCACCTGGTGGCTTTGTTCAGCAATTCACTTAAATGTCACCTCCTCGAGAAACTGTCCCTGACTGCCACCTCTAAGATAGCATCCCATCATGTCATCACCTTACCCTCTTTTGATTTTGTCGTTCCTTATTACATTGTTTTATATACGTGTTGTTTCTGTTTGTTTGCTGGCTATCCCCCCAGTAGCCAGTAAGCTCTGAGAGGCAGGGACTTAGTCTGTGGTCACTGAGGTACCCTCGCTGTATAGAAGGGCCTGGCAAATAGTAAGTGCTGAAGAAATGATTGCTCCATAAGTGAATGAATGAATGAATGATTAGAGAGACTGGTGAAGTAATCCAGGCCTGTGAGTTGGGGCAGGACTGATGAGGATGGGGAGGAGGAGGTGGGTCAGAGGCCCTGGTGCAAGTGTTTTTCCGCCAAGACACCCCATGCTCCCCTCCTGCAGCTTGAGCTCATTGGACACAGCATCTTCGATTTCATCCACCCCTGTGACCAAGAGGAGCTTCAGGATGCCCTGACCCCACGGCAGAGTGAGTTCCCTGGAGGCCTCTGTCCCCCCAAGAGGGGCATGTTCTGCCCTGGGGTCTGAGGGGAGGGACATAGGCCTGCCCTGGGGCCCTGAGGGAGCATGGTCTGAAGGACTGTATTCTACCCCCGGGAGACCTTCTCTGGTTCCAGGTCTCAATGTTAGGGATGAGGCTGGGGAGCCTTTCTAGCCAGGGTGCTGGGAGAACTGGGCCCTGGCCACAGCTGCCGCGTGGCCCGCTTCTCCCCTCCCCCTCCCCAGGCTTGTCAAGAAAGAAGCCAGAAGCTCCCACCGAGCGGTGCTTCTCCTTGCGCATGAAGAGCACCCTCACCAGCCGCGGGCGCACCCTCAACCTCAAGGCGGCCACCTGGAAGGTGGGCAGGACCTGGTCTGGAGGAGGGTGAGGGCTTGGGGGCCTGCTGGGGGTGGGCCTGACCCTAAAATTCTTATAACGGGTTGGAGTCCGGGGGTCTCCTGGACTGGGGATCCTGTGGGCTCTCAGACTGCATCTAGTGGGTCCTTGGGGTCTAGGAGGTTGGGGGTCTGGGGTTCCTTGTATCCTTTCTTAGTCTGGATTCCTGTGGGCCTGGGGCTGAGAGTCTTCAGCCTTCTGGGCCCGGAGACTCTGTGGTATTGGAATCTGGGGTCCTGATCTTAGAACCTGGAAATCTTCAGAACCGCCTTAGGTTGGGCCTCTATGGGGTTAGGATCTAGAGGTCCTTGGCTCTCTGAGCTGAGTCCCTGGAGTCCCCAGGGTTTTCCTCCCAGCCCCTTGTGGGGCCACAAAGATATGTCTCCCAGCCCCACGTGTAGCCCCAGGCCCAGGGGCATCACTGCCTTACCCCCACCCACCAGGTGCTGCACTGCTCTGGACACATGAGGGCCTACAAGCCCCCTGCACAGACTTCCCCATCTGGGAGCCCCAATTTGGAGCCCCCCCTGCAATGCCTGGTGCTCATTTGTGAAGCTATCCCCCACCCGGGCAGCCTGGAGCCCCCACTGGGCCGGGGGGCCTTCCTCAGCCGCCACAGCCTGGACATGAAATTCACCTACTGCGATGAGAGGTGGGCAGGAGCCCAGCCCACCCACTGGACCAGCTGCCTTCTTCCTTTCTGCCCACTTCCCTCACTGTTTCCGGTTCTCTCTGGTCTGTGTCTGTCTTTCCCGGACTCTGTCTATCTCCGTCTCTGTGTGCATGTCTGTCTCTCAATTTTTTGTGGGTCTTTTTGCTGACCCTGTCTCTCTCCGAGTCTCTCTCTTAGCTTCTCCCTCCTGACCTTTCTTCCCTAAGCAAGTCAGTTCACGTACAGCACTTTGTACGGGGCCCAGCAGGCTGATTACTGATTCTCCCTCTGACCTTCCCTTTCTCTCTTTCTCTCCCTCCGTCCCGGCTGCCCTTGTCTCTCCTCCTCCCTCCCTTCATTTTTCTGCATCTTCCCTTTTTCCCTCGCCCTGGAGTCGTGTTAGGAATGTGACTGGGCTCAGGCTCTACGGGTTCACCACCTGGCTGTGTGCCCTTGGCCCAGTGACTTCACCTCTCTGGGCCACGCTTTCCTCCACTGCCCTGTGGAGTGAGAACAGAGCAGAGTTGGGGTTGTTCAGAGCGCCCCGAGTTGCCTGATGCAGAGCACTCTGGAAGTGTCAATTGTTAACCATTATCATTATTATTACCTTTTATTTCTATTCATTCTCTCTTATCTTCCTTTCAGTGATTTTCTTCTTTTCTCTTCCGCCCTCTATTTATTTCACATATTCCCACAAACATAGTGGCTAAAAACAACACACATCCACTACCTCACAGTTCTGGAGGTAAGCAGTGTGAAATGAGTCTTAGGGGGCTAAAATCAAGGGCTGCATTCCCTCTGGGGCCTCCAGGGAAGAATCCATTTCCTAACCTTAGAAGCTTCTGGAGACTTCCTACTGCCCTTGTTTTGCGGCTCCTCCTTTGCCAAAGTATATTGCCCCACTCTACCTCCGTCCTTGTATCTTCTGTTCTCTCTCTGACCACCTGCCTCCCTCTTACAAGGACCCCTGTGATTTCATCGGGCCCACCCGGATGGTCCAGGATCATCTCCCCATCTCAAGATCCTTAACTTGGTCACACCTGCCAAGTCTCTTTTGCTGTGGACAGGAACGTACAGGCTCTGGGAATTAGAATAAGAGCACCTTCAGGGGCCATCAGGCAACCCACCACACCCCTTTCTGTTTCTTGCTCTCCCTTTCTCTCTGTCACGACTCTGTCTCTGACTTGCTGGCGTTGGCCCTGCACGCCCCTGCTCCTCCCCTCCACCCACCCTCCGTTTCAGCCTGTTGGACTGACCAGGCCCCACTGCACCCACCCCAGGATCGCAGAGGTTGCCGGCTATAGCCCCGATGATCTGATTGGCTGTTCCGCCTACGAGTACATCCATGCGTTGGACTCGGATGCAGTTGGCCAGAGCATCCACACCCGTACGTGTCTGGGTTCCCTTTCCCTAACCTGGAGCCAGCACTGCATGCCCCCAGCCAACACCAGCTCCCGAATTCCCAGGAAGTGTCCCCTAGTACTCTGAAACCAGACCCTCAGCTCCACACGTCCCAGGGAGTCTTTTCCCTCCCCACCCTGACACCAGCTCCCCAAGCCTCAAAGAACCTTCTCTTCCCTGGTCCTTCGTACCCAACTCCCTGCCCCCAGAGCCTTCTCTCTTTCTGTGGTCCTGACCCCTCCTCATCTCGCCTTCCCAGTTCTGAGTAAGGGCCAGGCAGTAACCGGGCAGTATCGCTTCCTGGCCCGGAGTGGTGGCTACCTGTGGACCCAGACCCAGGCCACAGTGGTGTCAGGGGGCCGGGGCCCCCAGTCTGAGAGTATCGTCTGCGTCCATTTCCTGATCAGGTAAGTGGAAGGGGTATGGGGTGGCTGTGTGTGTGGATCTGTCTGTCCGTGGACAGGTGTGTGTGTGTGTGTGCACAAGCATGCGTGTGCACCTGTGTAGGAGGGAGTGTATGCACGTACATGTATGTAGAACGTGTGACTGAAGGCATGCACGTATGCAAGAATGCACATGGGTATGTGCACTGTCAATTTCAATGAAAAGGATTCTATATTCAAGTTAAAATCAGAAATCCAGCAGAAGTGTGGGGGCACTTTCCCCTTTTAAAAAAAATTGAGGTGTAATTTACATATAGAGCATCCCATCTTTTTGGTATATAGTTTTTTGAGTTTTGACAAATGCACGGGATTGTGTACCCACTACCCATTGTAGAATATTTTTCATCACCCCCCCAAAATTCTCTAATAGTGAACTCAACCCCCAGTCCCTGGCAACCACTGATCTGTTCTCTGACCCTAGCACTTGGCCTTTTCCAGAATGTCATGTCCTTGGGGTCCTACATATTGGAGTCTGGCTTCTGTCACTTAGCATACTGCATTTAAAATGTATCTGCGTTGTGGTGTGTATCAATAGTTGCTTTTTCACGCTGAGTAGTGTCCTACAGTACGAGTATGAATGGACCACAGTTTATTTATCCATTCAGCAGTTGGAGGACATGTGGGCTGTTGTCCTGTTTTGGGTGATTAGGGAACATTCTCATACAGGATTTCGGGAGATCACGTTTTCATATCTCTGGGGTAAACACCTAGGAGTAGAAGGGATGGGTCATAAGGGCAGGGGGTATTTAACTTCATAAGAACTACCAAACCTTTTTTCCAGAGTGGCTGTACCATTCTGCGTTCCCATCAGCAATGAGCTTCAGTTCCTCTGCATCCTGGCCAACACTTAATATTGTCTCCTTTTGTCCTATTTTAATTTTAACCATCCTAATGGATGTATAATGCAAAATCTTAGGCGTCCATGCATCTTAGATGTGTTTCACCATGACAGCATTGTGATGAAGGCAGCAAATTATCACACAAGATAGAATTACAGCTTTTCTTTGAAGAGTATCTTTTAGGACATGGCATCAATTTCTAACGCTGTAGTTTTCCCAGGTCTCTGGCCAAGGACAGATTTTTATTAAAAGCAGAAGTTGGGACCAGGAGTTTTCATACATGAGTTCATGCTGCATAGCTTGCTAAACAAGACTGATCACCTTTGGCATATTCTTAGTTTAATCTTTTCAAATCACAATCTTGGAATAAGTTGTAGACCTGGACAGAGGTCTCTCCATTGTCATTGCAAAGGCCCTGTGCCCATCCCTTCTGGAAATTCCTTTTATTCATTTTGAAGATTTGCCTTTTTATGGCCAGACCCTGGGATTTCAATCTTTTGCACTCTAAGCAAAGAGCAGGTTTGGAGGGTTCAGTTTTACTGCCAGAAAATGGGTGAGGAATGACTAGGGGTTTAGTTAGTAGCAGTGAAATAAGGAGCATCTGGTATTAATCATCCTTAGGGCTGTGCACGTATCATGTGGCATGCAGCTGTGTGGCTGTTAGTGGGTGCTTGGGGCTTATTCTTTGTGGTATTAAAAACCCCTCACCTTCCACACATGAGTCTTCCTCCATTGCAATGAGCAATTGCTTCATAAATGTAAAACTCACTTATTTGGGGCACTGCTGCATCTCCAGTGCCTAGAACAGTGCCTGGCACCCAGTAGTTGCTCGGTGAAGAATAGTAGAAAATAACATACATACAGCTCACCACATGCCAGGCATGGTGCTAAGCATTTTATGCATATTTTCGTTCATTTAAGCCTCATAACAACCTGAGGAGGTGCTACTATTATTATTCCCTCTTTTATAGAGGAGGAAAATGAGGCCCAGAGAGGGTCCGCCATATGCTCAAGGTCACACAGCTCATAAGTGGCAGATATGTGATTTGAACCTAGGTTGCTGGCTGCAGAGCCCTTGCTCTTAACCCCTAAGCAGTACTGACAGCGTTGGTGGAATGACCGACTGAGTGAATTCCACGAGGCACGTGTGCACACGCTCAAGCCTGAGTGTGCGGGGTATGCACCCCACGCATCTCTCCCTATGTACACTTGGGCATATCTGAGGGTTCCTGTGTGTGCCTGTGTTTATCGAGAGCGTGTACATGCAGGACTGTGTGTGCCTGTGGTTTTCAAAGGGGATGGGCTGGCTTTGGTCTCCTCAGTTGGGATGCTTCCAGCCCAGAAGGGGTTTGGTGAGGGTGGGGAAGGGAAGAGCTTCTCAGGGAGCCGGTGGGAGGATCACCCAAATTCCATCCTGGGTATTGTTATGCAAATGTGATACAGATGAAGGGACTGCTTCTCAGCCCCAGACCAATTCTGCAAAAGCCAGCCTGCTCAGGGAACATTTGGGTTATCTTTGCAGCTAGAGACCTCGGGGGATGGGAGGTGCAGGGGACATAAGGAGGATGTATTTATAAATCTGTTCTGTTGAATACAAAAAATGCCTATGAATAGAAGCTTCATAAATAAAATCATATTCACTAAAATATATCCCTCTGACTTCTTCAGATTTGGTAACATAAGAATGTTAAATATATGTTCTTCATCAATACATTTATAAGAATGTGTTAGGAAGCAAATACCTATAAAGAGAATATTTTGCTCCTATGCCTTTCATTCACCCCCTCTCTCTGTTACCCCCACCCCCAAGTCTCCCCTCTTCACCCAGGTTGTGTTGAATACCAACTCTTTTTTTCTGTCTTTCCTTCCACAGAGGGAGCTTGGGAAGACACACTTAATTTTCTTTTAAAGGCTGTTATAATAAAAAGCACTCAACAAAAGTTAAATCCTTAAAAGAAACAAGTAAAGGTGGCCAATTCTCTTCTGCACACTGCCCTCCAGCCCCTGCACGAGACTGCCTCCTGTGACGGGACACCATCTGAGGGGGCCGCCTGGGCTGGGGCCAAGGGCCTGCCCTGACTGCCCCTCCTCTTTCTGCCCTGTACCCCAGCCGGGTGGAACAGACCGGAGTGGTGCTGTCCCTGGAGCAAACGGAGCGACACTCACGCAGACCTGGCCGGCGGGGCACCCACTCTCAGAAGGATACCCCTAATCCTGGGGAAAGCCTTGGTATGAGGCAGGGCTGGAGCTGGGAGGGGTTGTGACCCCAGGATGCTTGGGAGAAAGCCCAAGTGCCTTAAGGCAGCTTACCTGGCCCTGGGTGACTTGCCTTCTGCCTCCCTCTCCTTCTCACCGTGAACTACACCAGCTTCCTTAGTGCTGTTGAAACACACCAGACTCTTTCATGCCCCAGGGCCTTTGCACATGCAGCTCCCTGCCCAGAATGCTCTTCTCTCTTCAGGCCTTCCAGCTACCCCGTGTCCCTGGGGTGATTGCTCTCTGCTCTGAATCCCGCTGTGGCCCCCACTGCCCCCGCACTTGAACTTGTTCCCTGCTCCCACCTCACTGCTCTTTGCCTTCCAGTCATCTTGACCCTCCCAAGTCTGGCTCCTTTCTACGTCTTCCTTCTCCCCCACTTGATCCCTCTCTCTCTGCTTGTTCTTCAGGCCTTCACCCTCTTCAAGCTGCTGCCGGCAGCCCAGGCTCCTGGGGGTGGTGTGGGATCACCGGTGTCCCTTCATTTTCTGGCTCACAACCGGCTCGGGTCCACGTCCTGACTTCCAGGGATCTTAGAACCTCCTTGGGGGCCTTGGGCCAGTCTTTTTTCCCAACATGCAAGCCCCCAGAGCCGAATGGGTGAATGCTATTCTGTGCCACTGGAGAACTGGGTCAGTCATGTGCCCTGGTCCAGCTGGTGTCAAACTTCAAATATTAAAGCATTTCTCCACCACTGTGCAATTGCTAACCCCCCACTGTGCAAATGCTAACCAAGCCTACCGAGTGCTCTCCACCCCGAGCTGGTCCCTCCCCTCCCCGAGGACCCTCCACAGTCTGCCAACTGAAAGGATAGCACTTGACCCAGAGGGGTTCTCCAGGACTCAGCTCCCCAGCACTGTCAACAGTGTCCACCCTGATTGTTGACGGTGTCAACCATGCCCCCTGGGGTCTGGGTGGAGGGCTCTGCCCCTCAGCCCTGGATGGCCATCCTGTGTGTTCCCCATCCCAATATTTCCTGCAGATGCCTCTGGTCCCCGGATCCTGGCTTTCCTGCACCCCCCTTCCCTGAGCGAGGCCACCCTGGCTGCTGACCCCCGCCGTTTCTGTAGCCCTGATCTTCGTCACCTCCTGGCACCTATCCTGGATGGGACTTCAATAGCCGCCACCCCCAGTGCACCCCCAGCTTCCCGGCGCCCCCAAAGTCCACTTCCAGTAAGCAGTCCTTCCCGCTTGAGCCCTCGGATCCAGGTTGCTTTGGCTTTTGTCTTGACCTTGCTGTTTGCTGGACCTCAGTTGCTCCATCTGTAGTTGGAAGGTTGAGATGAGATGGGGTCTGGGGTTTCTTAAAGACCTAGAATCCTGATTCTTCAGCTGTTAAATCTGAACCCAAACCTGGGCTGTTCGGGACTGGCAGAGTTGCCCCTGTTTGCTTGTGATCAAGCATCTAGGCTCTCGAATTTTGCCTTCAAAGAATCTCAGATGTCTAATGTCTTACCCAAACCTGTATCCAAACCCTGAATCTGCCACTTACCAGCTGTGTTACCCTGGACAAGTGGGGCCTCAGTTTCCTCACCTGTAAAATTAGGACAATAGCAAGCAGCCACCTCATTGGTTATTGTGAGGCTTCAGTGAGTTAATTCATGAGAAACACTTAGCAAGGACCTGGCCCCCGGTAGGTGCACAGTAGACCATAGCAGTTACTATTTTTTACTTAAGAGCCTAGATAGTCTGACCTCTGACTCAGGGATTCATATAATCGGGTGTTGACTTTCCTCATCCCCACCCTGTGCCTCTCCCAAAATATCTTCTCTCCACCCAACAAATAGACTGATTTTGACCTTACCCTTTGCATCACTTTGCTCAGACTCTAGACTCCAAGACCTTTAACCCCCAGATGGCCTGAATATTTTGGCCTCAAACTTTAGTTTTTTGAATCTTTGATGTTTGCCCTGGCCATCTATACTCAGGCACTCTGACTTTTGAACACCCACAGTCAGCCCATTTGCATTTGCTTTTTGACCCCTTGGTGTCCCAGCTGAGTGACATTTGACTCTCATTTCTATCCCTGAGCTCAAATGTCTAGACTGTCTTACTGTTGACATTGCCCAGGCACAAGATGTCCTTAAGTCTCTACTCTCTCTCTCCACAGGCTGATCTCCCAGATGAACTACTTGTGGACGTGGAGAATGCACACAAACTCTTTGCTTCTGGGAAAGACCTTGAGGCAGTGGAGACAGATTTAGATATAGCTCAGGTAAGGGCTGGCATGGAAGGAACAGTCTTCACCTCGGTGCTCTATGGGCTGACACATCTGAGCTTTGGAGAAGGGGTGGTGGAATAGTTAAGGGGATGAGTGGATGTATGGGTAGACAAGCCATTCTATTCATTAGGTGGATGATGGTGGATAGATAGATGGGTGATGTTTAGACAGAGATTTGGATGGATGGACGGTGGATGTCTGAGTGGGTAGTTAGATAGACGATTGGTTCATTCGATGGATAATATTTGGATGATTGAATGGATAGATACATGACAGTGGCATGATGTATTGGTTATCTTTTGTTGTGTAACAAATTACTCCAACACGCAGCACCTTAAAAAACTAACATTTATTACGTTACATAGTTTCTGAGAATCAGGAATCTGGGAGCAGCTTAGATGGATGGTTTTTGCTGAGTCTTTCATGAGGCCGAAGTCAAGCTCTCAGTCAAGGCTACAGTCATCTGGGGCTAGAGGATCCACCTCCATGCACATGGTTATTGGCTGGCCTCAGTCCCTTACTGACTTTGCCTGGAGGCCTCAATTCTTCACTACGCGGGCTGCCTAAGTGTCCTCACTACATGGTGGCTGGTTTCCCTCAAGCCAAGTAATCCAAGAAACAGAGAGAGTAGGCGCAATACAGAAGATGTAGTTTTTTATAACCTAATTTCAGAAGTGACACACCGTCACTTTTGCTGTACTGTATTAGTCATTCAAACCAGCCCTAGTGCAGTGTGGAAGGCAGCCAAGTACCAGTATGAACACCAAAAGGCATGTCTCTCTCTCATGCAAAATACATTCACTCTCTCGCAAGGCCCCAAAAAGTCTTGTTCCATTACAGCATCATCTTGAAATACAGAATCTCATCACCTAAATCAGGTCTGGGTGTGACGAAGCTCCTTGAGTACAGTTCCTCTCAATCTGTTGGCCGGCCTGTGAACTAAAGAGATAGGTTCTCTGCCCCCCACATACTCACTTACAATAGTGGGAAAGGCACTGAATACCTGCCATATATACCCTGTGCAAAGAGGGGGAAAGGAGAGCATATGGGTGTCAGTGGCCCACAGCAGTTTTGAAATCCAGTCGGGCAAATATTGCAAGTGCTTTGCTCCGAACTCATTCCTACTCCGTCCCAGGGGATTTTCTCCATGGTTCGTAGCTCTACCCTCTGGACCCTTGACCTCTCACTCTGAGTGACCCTTCCTTTTCCATAAATTGTAATGTGTATTTGCAGCTATGTGGTTTTCATAACCTGCCTCCTGCTTAAAGAACTTGGGTGGTCCAAAGGTCCTTTCATTTTGTATCATCTCTATCCCTTTCAGTCCAACTGGCAATGTTTCTGTTTATATAATTCTCTTAAAAAAAATCCTTGTGGGTCTTAACCTGAATCTCTTTGGAGTTCACTCCTTTAGACAAAAGTCACACCCACAAATCTCTCTGAGATAAACCCTTCCCCACCCTGGGCTTCTGCTGAGATGGCTGAGTGACAGTGACCGGAAGTTTAATAGAAGCGCTGTTGTTTGAGAAGATCTATGAGGCCCATCCTTATCTCTAGAGTGCCTTTTGCCTGACTGAAGGATATTCTAGGTGCCACCTTTGATATTTCTGAAGTCTTACAGGGAATTTTGTAGTCACACCCTGTCTTCATCTTTAGACCATGCTTTCTTGAGAGTACCCTTCTTTGCCCAGAAACCATTTTTAAATTTCCCATTTGCCATCTGGGGAGTCCCTGGAGTCAGCCAAACCGAAGTTGAAGGGTGAAGTCCTGCAGACTGATAAGTCTGCCTAAGACTTCTGACATCAGTCACAAGTTTTGGGGTCCCAGGGACACCCTTACTTCAGACCAGCTACCTGCAGTTCGGAGATTCCCACAGATACCCTCAGGTTCACTAATTTAGTAGAACTAGTCATAGAACTTAGGAAAGCTATAGTATAGTTATAATTACAGTTTTATTATAGAAAAGACTATTATAGCCAAGGAAGAGATGCATAAGATGGAATCTAGGACTGGGAGAGTCTCAATTGCAAAACTTAGGTGTCCCCAGGGACATGTTATCCTTCTGGCATTAATGTCTGGTAGCGCAGTGAAGCATTGCCAGTTCAGGAAGCGCACCTAAGCTTTGGTGTCCAAGGTTTCCGTGGAGAGTTCTTCATGTAGGCATGATTGGTTGAGTTATTTACCTTCCCCAACACACACACTTTCCTTGGGGGTCAGGCTGATTTCACCTAGACCAAAGCCCAACCCTCTCATCACATGGTTGGTCTTTCGGGCATGGCCAGCTCCCGTCCTGGGTCATCTTGTTAGCATAAACTATCACCTGTGGTCCAAGGGGCCCACCGCAAGTAGCAGACACACTTATCACTCAGGAAACCCCAAGGATTTCCCAGGAGCCAGGACAGAAGCTGAATCTCTTTTTGGGTAAAGTTAATGATTCAGTACACAAGGGGGTTAAAAATTTTTATGACATTCAAGTCCGGCTCCTTCATGTGTAACATTTTTCCTCTAGCTTCTCTCTCACTTACCTTTTACTCCAAGTACCAAGGAGAAATAGGCAACCCCTTCAGCACTCTGATCGGAAATCTCTGCTACATCACCCAGTTCACTAGTTATGACTTCTTCTTTACAAAACTGCAGGTGCCAGTGTTGCTGTGTCAGCCAGTACACACTACAAATCCTCTTTCCTCCAGTTTCCAACAACGTGTTCCTCTCTTCCCTTTAAGTCCTTACTGGCAGGCTCTGCACGGTTCGGATTTTCACTGACGGTCTGTTCAAGGCAATGTAGGCTTTCTCTAAGTCCTTCCAGCCCCGTCCCGGCCTGGTGCCAAAGCCATTTCCATATTTTAGGTTTTTTATGGCAGCACCCCACCCTACCTCTGGATCAAATCTTATTTGTTATCTACTTCTAGATACTTAGAAGGTTAAAACAACAAGCATGTTTTACCTCCCATGGTCAGGGGTCTGGGAGCCACTTTGCTGGATGGCTTTTGCTCAGGGTGTCTCAGGAGGCTGCATTCAAGATGTCATCCAGGGTTGCAGTCATCTAAAGTCTTGACTGGACTACAGGGTCCACTTCCAATATCCAAGATCACTCACTTGCCCGTTGGGAAGAGGTCTCAGTGTCTTGCCATGTGGGTCTCTTCATAAGGTGTCCCCCAGAGCAAGTGACCCAAGAGAGGACGCAGCAAAAACAGAAGTCACAGTATGTTTATAACCTAATGTTGGAAATCACACACCATAGTCTCCTCATATCCTATTGTTATCAAGTCAACGCCAGTCACTGTGGTAGGGGACCCCACTAAAGCATGAACACCAAGAGGTGAGGGTCCTTGGGACTCCAGTCCAAGCCCACCCCAGGCCAAGGCTCAAGCTCTTGACTGCCTCCTGCCCCCTGCAGGACGTTGATTCTCTGGATTTGGAGATGCTGGCCCCCTACATTTCCATGGATGATGACTTCCAACTGAACTCCAGCGAGCAGCCACCCAGGGCCTACCACAGATCTCCAGGGGCTGTCCCCCGGCCTCGCGCTCGGAGCTTCCACGGCCTGTCACCCCCAACCCCTGAGCCATCCCTGCTGCCCCGCTGGGGGAGTGACCCCCGGCTGAGCTGCTCCAGCCCTTCCAGACGGGACCCCACAGCGTCCTCCCCCGTGGCTGGGGCTCGGAAGAGGTGAGCCGCGCGGGAGGAGGGTATAAAGGGAGTGTAGAGAAGACCCCTACCCCCTGTCTTGCTCCTGTCTGCAACTTTAGCCTCACCCCTCATCCTCCTATCCCGACCTCTACTCCAGCCGGGCCCTCAGGGTCCCCAGCACATGCCATGTGTGTTCTAATCTCTGTGTCTCTGCCTGGGCTGTGCCCTCTTTCAGGAGTGCCCTCCACTGTTCTTACTGTCTGTGTAAGTCCCACTAGCCTGCCAGGGCCCTCCCCTTTGGAAGATATTCATATCTGGCCTGGCGACAATTTTGTCACAGTTAAAAGGACATTGCCACAGTATCAGAAGTTTCCTAACAACTTTGAGAATCTGATGAAAAGTCCCTTTCCCAAGAGAATTTACACACACACACACACACACACACACACACACACACGCATGCACACACACAGAAACACAATTGCATATAATTTCAGAGGGCCCGTGTCACCCCAAAGGCATTAGATCACTAATACTCAAGTTTCTGTTCTCCGTATTGCAGGCGTGTGCCCACTTAGTCTGCAGAGTGGTCGTGGTCTCTTTACTATCCTTATGAGGCCTTTATGGATATATCTCAGTGCTTCCCAAGGCTCCCAACTTGGTGCTGGATATCCAGTGGGTGCCTAATAAAGGCTGATTAAGACAGGGAGGGAAGAAGGAAATTAATGAATACAGTAGGTGGCTGGAGGGACAGCTGATGGATGGACGGTGAGTGGGTGGGAGGTGGATAGGCAGGTGGATGATCGGAAGGATGGGTGGATGGCGTTCACGTGGGAGGGTGGGTGGTTGATGGGCCACTGGATAGGTGAATGGGAACAGGGACTGGTGGATTGGTGGCTGTATGAGTAAAGCAATAAACGGATGTTTGGGGGAGTGAATGAATGCTCATTGCTGGCTCACACTGGTGCTCATGCCTGCCCAGGTTTGTGGTGTTCTGAGATTCTTGCCTGTCTTCCTCCAGGACCCTGGCCCAGAGCTCAGGGGATGAGCCCGAGGGGGTGGAGCTGCTGGGAGTGAGACCCCCCAAGCGGTCCCCCAGCCCAGAACCCGAGACCTTCCTGTTGCCTCCCCTCAGCCTGGTATGTTGGGGGATTCATGGGACTCTGGCCCTCAGAAGCTAACAGGCCTAACCCTGTTTTATGGATGGAAAAACCAGAGAGGGACAGGGGCTGGCTGCAGGTCAAAAGGAAGGTCATCAGCCCAGTGGAGGCTAGGACCTTGATCTGCTGGTTCAGGTAATGGGTATGAAAGGGCTTTGCAAATTTACTTAAGTTGGTCGTAAGTTCTAGGAAGAAACATGATGCAGGGCAAAGGGAGAAATGACAAGGGTACTCTCTGTAGGAACCTTCTCTGCTGCCATGGGCCCCCCTCCCAAACCTAGAACAGGTTTTGGCCATGGAGTATTATTGGTGTAGCAGTAAGAGTACAGACACTAGAGTTAGATTACTGGGGTTCAAGTCCAAGGTCTGCCACCTAATAATTGTGAGACCTTGGGCAGGTGATGTCACCACTCTGAGCCTCAGTGTCCTCACCTGGAAAATGGGATAATTACATCTCACAGGATACCTTGAGAAGCAAATGAAATCAGGCTTTTAGCTGAGCCTTTGCAGGTTGTTGATAGTCACACAAAAAAAAACAAGCAAAAGTTACACCCTCTCCCCACTGTCTCCTCGCCTCTAGTCTTATCCCCGCTGTCCATTCTGAACAACAGGAACCAGGACACCCTTTCTATAAGCCAGCCTAGACCATGTCACCTTCACAAGGTCTCCCTCCAGGACCTTCCATGGCTCCCTACTGCCCACAGAAGTGCTCTGTAGCTCCTCACTCTGAACAGGGCTGCTTGAACCTGAAGGATGAGGTTGATAAGATGAGCAGCCTCAATGTACTGAGTGCCTGACATATCCCAGGCGCTGATGACACTGCCTTGCATGGTTAAGTCATTTAGTCCCCATGACCACTCCTGAAATATTACTATTATCAGTCACATTTACACACAAGAGGTTAGGCAACTTGGAACCCGGGCAGGGAACAACATGCTCAGATGGGGTGTTGAGGAGAATTTAATAACAGGGACTGTTGGCAAAGGTGTGAGCATCACGTAGGGGATCGCCAAGGGCTGACACAGCGCCCTGGAGGTAGCAGTGTGGAGAGCTGGCACCATCCCTAGCCTGAGGGCACAGGGCAGGGGCGTCATGGGATCCTGAGAGAGTAGGGTCCGTCCTTTAGGGGTGGAAACCTTCTGTGAACGGACATACATAGCCAACCTGCGATGACCCAGCTGGGAAGCAAGCCGCTAGAAGATGAGTATTTCTCCTTTTCCTCCTCCCGCCAGCTGGTATCCCCTATTACATGCCGCTGGTCGGAACACAGAGGGCAAGACTGCATGTGGATGGAGTCCACGCACAGGTCAGCCTGTGGGGGTCACAGAAGGCCAGAGTGAGGCTGTGGAGGGACATGCAGAGGGGCAGTGACTTACCGGCCAGTGACCAAAGTCATACAGCCAGTGCGCCAAACCCCGCAGTGCCCTGAACAGCTGCACCACCCTGCCCCCTCGGAGATTGATGACCATGGCTTTGTCTGTCTCCTGCAGAGTTTCCTTCTGACAGGAGGACCAGCCCCAGGGAGCCAGCAGGATCCTAGCACGCACCTCCTGGCACTGAGTGAGCCCTTGGGTGAGTAACAATCTGGGCATCGAGAGGCCCTGGGTCCCTCTCTCCTATGGGAGGTGCCCCAAATGGTTGAGAGAGGGATGGGACGATCCTGAAGGTGGTGGGGGGCTGTTAGTGCCCAGACATGACCTTGGTAGAAATAGACAGCACCCCCTGGCCCCAGGGGCACTGGGGGGCAAAGAGAGGCCCTGAGGGTGGCGGGGCTTGCCAAAGCTGCCCCTTGGGGTGGAAGCTGAGCGTCTGATTATGCTTTAGGGTTGAGTCCCACCCTGGTCATTCCCAGGTGTGTGGCTTTAGGAATAGTTTCTGCTTTTGGAGCCTCAGCTGCCCCACCTCTGTCAAGTAGGGCCTGTTGTAATAGTTCTTACATCAAGTAGCTGTTTTGAGGACTCGAGGAGATGCTGAACAGGAAGAGCTTAGCACAAAACCTGTTTGTAGTAAATGCTCAAGAAATGTCTGCCATTGTGCAATGCTGGTTCCACACCCCTGCACAGAGGGTGAAACCAGCTGCCTTGTTTGTGTTATCATCATCTTCCAGCACAACTAAAAATAGCCATAGCTCCACCTGAAACCTCCAGGCATTGGCCAGAGGGATCTTCCCAAACCTGACCCTGGCCTTCCTCTGCTCAAGACTCTTCCATGGCTCCCTAGTGCCTTTCAGAGAAACATCAAGCTCCTCACCTTGGACCCCAGTCTCTGCAGAGTCTGACCACTGCCCTCATCTCAAACCACACTCTGCTTCACGTCCTGTGTTTCAGCCACAGTCACTGTCTTTTGATTCATTCTTTCCTTCATACATGTAACAAGTGTTTATTGAACACACAGTAAATGCCAGGCACTGTCCTAGCAGCTGGAGACACACCTGTGAGCAAAACAGAAATCTCTGCTCTCATAGAGCTGACATTCTAGTGCAGGAGACAGTGCAGAACAAAGAAGCAAATATAAAGAGTGCAAGGGAAGAAAATAAGTGTACTTGGGGAAAATAATGCATGCAAAAGTGAAGGAGTTCTTGCAGAGCGTGAGAGGTGGACCTCAATTTTAAATGGTATGATTAGCGGTAGTTTCCCTGAGAAGGTGAGCTTTGAGCAAAGACCTGAAGGAGATGAGGGAGTGAACCATGACAGTTTCTACAGGAAAAGCATTCCAAGCAGAGGGAACCAAGTATGCAAAAGTCCAGAGATGGGAGCATATCATCTTCTTTGAGGAAAACACAAGGCCAGTGTGGCTGAAGCAGAGAAGAGGGGGAAGAGAGGTGAGGGCAGGTGCGGTGTGTTCTTTCATATACAATGACAATAATAGTATTACATACAGCAGTATTAGTAGTATAACTGCATTTGGGTTCCTGGACCCCATTCCAATGTGTGTAAGTGTGTGGGGGAGGGTCTTCCCACACATAACACCAAGTGAGTCTTTAACACCAGCAGGGTGTCAGAGAACTCAACTCAATTCTGATGCTATCTGCCCAGAGACAGCACCAGATTCCCCAGGTGAAGGGCTCCTTCCTGTGAGACTGCCTTCCCGCCCCAACTCCAGATGCCAGTTGCAAGACCCAGGGTGTTACCTTTAAGACTGCAGTGTTTTCAGAAACTGTGGGGGAAGACCAAATATACCTGGGAAATTTGTATTTGGTCATATGGATGACCAAATAAGTATTTCTTATGATTCGTTATATTACAGCAGGTTGCATAGGGCTTCTCTGATGATGATTTTGAAGTCATCTTGCTTGAGGGTGCTGCCTCAGGGACTTTGCATATGCTGATCCCTCTGCCTGGAATGCTTTTCCCTCTATTCTTTGCCCAATTACTGCATCCTTTAGATCTCAAATCAAATACGATTCCTTCCATGAAGCCCTCCCTAACTTCCTAAGCGCATACTCATAACACCCATTGCAGTTCATATTTACATAGACATTCGTGTCATTTGGTGATCAGCTGCCTTCTCACTGCAGATATGAGCCCTGTGAGGGCAGGGGCCAGGTTTGTTGCGGTCACTGCTGTACTCTACTAAGTGTGCAAGGCTGGGCGGTGGCTGGGCACAGAGCACCTTCTCAGTACATGTTTGTAAATAAAGAGCAAACATTTATCTAGCATGCACTCTGTGCCAAGCTTTGCGCTAAATCTGTTATGCATGTGACTCTCACTGGCATGTCAGCCCCACAGGGGCAGGGGCTCATCCTTCCTATTTACTGCTGTGTGCCCAGTGCCTGGTGCACAATAGGTGCTCAATAAATATTTCTAAAATGAGTGAATTTTCATAAATGAGGCAGATATAAGCATTCCAGTTTTCCAGTATCAACAGCTTGCTTACTGCGCACTCACCAGTACTAGTTATTGTTCAAAGCACTTTACATGGTTTCACTCATTTACTCCTCAGAACAGCCCTGGGAAAGAGGTATGGGTATCAGCTCATTTTACGGATGAAGTAGCCCAGACCCAGAGAGGTGAAGTCACCTGCCCCAGGTCACACAGCAAGCAAATAGCAGAGCCTGGATTTAAACTTGGCAGCATCTGACTCTAGGATTATTAACTACTGCCCTAAATGTCCTGCACACCTGAGGTCCAGAGAGAAGAACTTGCCCAAGATTTTACTGTGCTTTGAATCCGAGCATGCCTGCCGCACTGCGCACACTCAAACTGTCAGGAAGGGAAGACGGATTGGGTGGTAATTCTCCACTGGCTTACTTTCCAACTCTCCCCACAGGCCTGGGCCCCTCACTGCTCTCTCTCTACCCGGATGAGGATGCAGCCCAGCCCAGGAGCCACTTCCAGCCCGCAGCAGGCCTGGCCCAGGCCAACTGAGCCAGCTCCTCTTCCCGTTTGCCTTCTCCTCCCCAGAAAGGACCTCAACCACACTCCATGCCTGCAGCCAACGCACAGGATGGGGCGCCGGGAGAGGGCTTCCCTGTCTCCTCTCAGCGGCCCCACCCTCCTCGGGCCTACCTCAGCCCCCACCCCTCTGCCCCCGGTGTCCGGGAGCTCTCTGGGGTGGTCTCAGCTCAGTGACCTCTGGGAGGGGGTCCGTGGCCCCCTCCTCCTCCTCTCAGGACTTCTCTTGGGATTCTCAGTACTGGTTACCTCACCCCTTCCTCCAACACTCTTGGCTTTTGGGTAATTAGGGGTGGGGGAGGTTGGGGTTCAGATCTGTGTTTCTGGGCTCTGGGGAGTATTGACAACCATAATCACATTTTTTTCCATTCATCTTTCTTTTATTCTTATTTTTATTTTCATTGTTTTCATGATACGTCTTTACTCGCTATGAATTCCCCGGGGTCTATAAGAATGTGGGACTCTGATCTCTCCCCCAACATCAGGGGTCAATGGCCGTGGGGATTCTGGGCCAGACCTTACTCCCAGCTGCTTCTGATTAAGCCCTTAGCCTTCCAAGAGGCCATCCGGCTCTGCCTAACCCCTCCACTCAGGACTTCTGCTGCCCCAGCCTCGCCTGGGCACAGACTCATTCGTGGGCTTCCAGGTATAGCTTCCGAAGTCCTCTGCTTCCAGATCATACAACGTTCAATCTTCCCTGGTTCTAGAGTGCACAACCTCCGACATTCTCAGATTCTAGACTGTACAACCCCCGACATGGTCTGGTTTAGACCTCACATCCTCCAAACACCCTTGAGTCCACTCTTAAAATCTTCAGCTCTTTCTGGTTCCAGACCTCACAACCTCCAACTCTATATTCTCGTACTTCCTGGTCTCCAAAATTGTCTGGTTCTAGGCCCTACATCTTCCAATTCCCTCAGGCTCCAGAGCCTATGACCACCAGAGTCCTCTGGTTCCAGAACTTCCCCCGACATACTCTGGTTCTAGACCTCTTCCCTATAAACCCCTCTTGTTCTAGATGTCACATGCTCCCACTCCCCCCGATTCCAGATCTTACAACCAACCATCTCCTCTGACTCTGGGCCCACAGCCCCACGCTTTGTATTGGTTCTAGTCTTCCTGGTCTGTGATACAATTCATTTCAAATCCAGACTTCCTAACGCTTTGGTCCTAAACCTCATGATGCCCAGCTTATTCCTTTTCAACTGTCTACACTCAAGACTTGCTTTTCCCATCAAAAGTAGTAAAATGAGTTTTATGTCTTGAGCCTCTAACCAGTATTTCCAGACCCAGGCACCACACTGCCGTTCTCTTTTGCTGTAGACCTCATGACCTCTACCATTCACTGGTTCTAGACTATGCAACCTTTAGACCTTGCAATTTCTAGTGCCCTCTGATTCCAAATCTGATCTTCTCCCTTTACTCTGGTTCTAGAACTTGGTCTCAAATGTCTTCTGATTCTAGACCTCGTCCTATAAATTCCCTTGTTCTAGACCTCACAATCCCTAGTTCTTCCTCACTCCAGATCTTACAAGTCCAAATTAACCTGGGTCTAGAACTCAGCCTTCAAACATCTGCTGATTATAGACCTTGCCTTATTGATTTCTCTGGTTCTAGACCTTCCAACTCCCAACTCCTGGTTCTAGATNTTCTGGGCTTCCCACCCCACTCAACTCGCTCAATTCCTACTCTCTGTCTTAAGTCTTCCCATTCCAGATCCCTCCCCTCCAGACCCCTCCGCTAATGGACTTCATGCTCAAGCCTCTCCACTCTCAATCTCATATCCCTGAAATGTCTGTGTCCTAAACGCTCTGCCTGCCCCATCTCAGCCCTCCAGATATGCCCTCAACTTTACTTTACCCCAGGTATGTGGGGGACCTGGGGCTCCCTCACAATCCAAGAGACCCCCAGCCGCATAGGCACACGCACAGCCCTATCTACATATTGCAGGGTGGGGACAGAGGCCAAGAGTCCTCAGTGCCCCACAACCACCTATGCGTCCCTCTTACCCCAGCCTCCTTTCTACGATGGTGCTACGCTTGGTGTCCCACAGGAAAAGGCCTCCCTCTCTCAGCCTGATTCACCCCGTTTGGAAGGCACTTCTCACTCTGTTTTGTTAGGGGATGGCCTGTCCAGATTGGTGCTATTGTTGGGGAAGGGTCTGACCTCTTCCTCCCTTAAGGGGTACCCTGGGCCCTCAGTGGAGGGAACAGTCCTGGGCTGGGGGAGGGGAAGGGGCTGGACCAGCCCTGCTGGCTCTGAAACCCGCTGATCTCTATACCACCATAAAGACTTCGCCTTGGTAGGCACCAGAGCTCTGTGTGTTGACTCATCTGTGGGGTCCCTTCAGCGGGTGAGGGTGCCCTGGGTGACTGGATGTCATGGCACTTTGTGATTCTGTGTGTGTGCACATGATATTCTGTGTTCCTATGTGGGTCTTTGTAACACTGCATGTCTGGTGATGTCATTCCGTGTATATGTATAAAGTGTATCTTTGTGACATAATTCTGTAAGCTCTGTGTGGCGGGTAATTCCTTCTACATGTGTATGTTAGTATCTGGGTGAAATGATTCTGCCACGTGTGTGTTTCTTGTGATTTTGGGTTCCTGTGTTCCTGAGTATGGGAGGTATTGTGATTTTTTTTTTTTTGGTCTCTTTGTGGTGTTTCAATTCTGTGTACATGTATGGGGCTGTTTGACACTATAAATCTGTGTACTGATGTCCATGTGACAGAATTCTCTGTACTTCAGTGTGTGTGAAAGAGACTGTGTATCCACAGATTCATGTGTGGATGGGTGGGCCTGTTCTGTCACATGCCTGTATGTCACCCTTGTTACCCCTCTGCTATGTTACGTGGAATATTTACAAAGAAGAAAACTAGTTCCAAGCCTTGGCACTTGCTGTGCCCTCTGTCTTAAATGCCTTTTCCTCTTCCCTTCTCTCCTCTCTTGGTTGCCTTTTACTTATATTTCAGATCTTGGATCAAATATGTCCTCCCCCAGGAAGTCTTCTCTGCCTGCCCAGCTAGGTGAGGTCGTTCCACAGCCTCCTGAGAGCACCCCCATCACAGCTCTAGGTATTGTTCCACTCCTGAGTATAATGGAGTGGATATAGAAAGCACTTAACTCCAAGTTAGGCCCTCTGCCAAACACTTTACTCATGTGATCTAGTCCTATACAATAGACACTATTATTATCTCCATTTTACAGAGGATTAAACTTAGGTTCAGAAAGGATCATACTTGCCCAACATCATACAGCAGAGAAGGGCTGATTCAGACTTGAACCCAGGATTCAAATCCATTGTAGCAGCCTTCCCCTCACATCAAAAAATCTGAAAATTGTAACCCATAAAGTGGGCCCTGGAGCATACAGACAGTAGAGTAGGTATTAAGAGGCACAGGAATTAACTGGGATAGGTTCATGTCCTGCTTCTGCCATTTTCTCATTGTATGAACTTAGTTTAGGCGAGTATATTTGACCTCTATAAATCTCGACGTCCTCATCTATAAAATGGAAATGATAGTATTTCCCTTCTTGCGTGATTGTTGGAGGTGGTGGGGGCCACACTGTCAGAACAGGAACATTTGGGGATGGGATGTGTTCAAGGTCACACAGTAACTGACAGTAGGGGAGTCCCAGTCAGGGCTCCACGTCGGGTTCCCGGCTGCCCTGCAGAACAGCCACACCGACCAGCGGCATTTGCAACCCATCAACCCGAGAAATGGCGGGGAAATCCCACTTCATGACCCCAAGAAACTTCTGCGGCCTTGGAAGATGGTAGCTTTGGGTGCAGGGTTCACATCTTTTTTTTAACCCCGCGCGCACCCTTCGCCTTCCCCATTCGCTCATTCTTTAAAGGGCGCTGCCTAGCGGTCCTCTGGTCACCTTGTCCTCCGCGCGCTCTAAGGCGAATGAGCCCTGCGCAGGCGCACGAAGGGCGCCTTCGGGGCCCGCGCTTTACGACACTTGTGCAGCAACGGCAGCGGCAACCCGGCACTCCTTCGCGACGCTTCGGCCGGGCGCCGCTGGCGGCGGTTGCCAGGGTCGGGGTCGCTTTGCGGCATGGCGATGGCGGAGGGCGAGCGGGCTGAGTGTGCTGAGCCCCCCCGGGACGAGCCCCCGGCTGATGGCGCTCTGAAGCGGGCAGAGGAGCTCAAGACGCAGGCCAACGACTACTTCAAAGGTGCGCCCGACCCGGAGAGGGGCGAGGGAGGGTAGAGAACTGCCCAGGTCAAGGGTGCCGGGCCCGCGCGGAACCATGGCAACGCGGAGCGGCAGCCTGGGCGCGGGGCCGGCACGACCGGGCGACCAGGCGTGGGGAGGCCCAGGATGGCGCTACCGAGGGGCGACAGAGGGGGCAGGGAGGAGGAGGGATACCTCGAAGTGGCGAACGGAGCGGGTGCCCCTAACGGAGAGACTGAGGAGGGCGCTACCAAGCGTGAGGCGGGAGGGGGATAGGAATGAGAGTACTACCAAATGTGCAACCCCGAGAGGAGCTAGCTCATGGTGAGACCTGAAGAGGGCGCTACCAAGTAGTGACAGCGGGCGGGGGAGTGATGGCTCTACTAACTGGGGAGACCTGGGGTGGGTGGCATCAAATAGGGGGTGGAAGGACTGTCCCAATAGAGTAGGAATCTTGGGGAGCGGAATAGATGATCAAGTGGGAGAGCATGGAATGAGGAGGTTTGGGGTTACGCGAGGAAAAGGGATGTGTGGGAGGCCCCGGGAGTAGAGGTGGGGGAATCCCAAGAATAGTATGGCTTAAGATCTTGGGAAAGAGTATGCTGTGGGGGCACCCATTCATTCATTAATTCAACGTGTTTATTGAGTATTTGCTATGTGCTAAGGACTGTGGTAGACTCTGGGGATATAGCAGCAAATGAGACAGATGCAACCCTGCCTTCATATAGCTTGTAATTTAACAAGACTAAGTAAACACACAAACAAATAATAAAATACTTGAAAGTTGTGATGACTGTTTTGAAAAAACCCCAACAGGGTGTGTGAAGTGGAGAATAAGGGTTGGAGGCTACTTTAGAGAGGATGGTCAGGGAAGGCCTTACTGAGGAGAAGGCATTTAATTTGAGGAGAATTGGGAAGGAGTGTTCCAGGGGTGGAGCCCCATGTGCACATCCCCTGAGGTAGGAAATGAAAGGAACTCTGTCCCGGCTGGAACTTCAGCGCATGAGCATTAGCAGGGAGACTAGTACAAGATGAGTGCAGAACTGGGGCGAGGTCGTAAGTTACTGCACATTTGTTTGGGTTTTATTCATCTGTCCAAGAGGAGACGTTGAGTAGCTAGATGGGCCAGACTGGAGCTCCAAGAAGAGGAATTTGGGCCTGACCAACTTACGGGTTGAATAGAGCACCCTCGGAATGAATGAGGTCATCTGGGAAGAGAAGGAGCCTGGGATGGAACCTGGAGGAATTCTAATGTTTAGAACAGAAGAGGAAGAGGCTGAGCAGGAATGGTCAATGAAGTGCAAGGAAAGATGAGAGGTGAGGGCACTTCCAGCAGGAGGCCATGCCCTAGTTGCCACCAGGGTGGGCACTGACCAATGGATTTGGCTCCACGGCTGTTGTGGTTGGTAGCCTTGACAAGAGTAGTTTCTGGGGAATGCAGGGTAGGGGTAGGCAGCTAGGAGGGTATGGAAGGGTGAACGATAAGGGTGGAAATGGAGACAGCAAATGCTGACAAGTGTTTAGAGTATTTTGGTTCTAAAGGGAGTGGAGAAATCAGGGAGGGGAGCTGCTTTTTTTGATGATGGAGTGACTCAGTACAGTGACTTGGCCCTCCTGGGGAGAGAGGGAGGGGATACTTACAGCGGCAAATCCCTGGGGAAGGGGTGGAGGGTAGAAGGGATCTGGAGCTTTAGCGGGTAGTTGGTGTTCAGTGGGAGCACAAATGGCTTCAAAGAGTGGAAGGTCTGGTCAGGTTGGGGCCACGAGGAGGAGGTATGCCTGGTGAGAGACAAGGCTGGAGGTGGGGCCTTGGAGGCCGGGTCCAGGAGTGTGGTGTCCCCCTGAGGATGGCAGGGAGCTGTGGGAGTTTTTAAGAGAGGAGGCACATGGACTGATTAGCATTTGGAAAAGACCTCCCCACCCTCACTGGACACAGGGGTGGGCTGGAGACCAGGAAGGAGACTAGAAAGGTGGACAGGTGAGAGGTGGTGGTGCTGCCAGTCAGGCTGGAAAGGTGGAAACTGACTCAGGACACGTTTTCAGAGAGGAAATGAGAGCAGCCCCTGGAGAGAGGGAGGCGGGAACTGCAGGCAGAAAGAACAGGATGGCGAAGGTGAGTGGAGCCTGGCCCCAAGGACTGAGTGGGGCTGCAGGGTAAGAGGCATGAGTTTATGGCGAGGCTGCAAAGAGGACCCCGAGCCTTCTGCTGGAGGGCTGGGGGGCCTGGATTGTTCTGAGGAGGGGAAGGACAGGGTCAGATTTGTGGTTTAGAAAGACCCCTCCGGAGGGCCAGGACTGGAGGCTGGGAGACTGGGGAGGAGGCAGGGGCAGGCACCTGGGCAGGAGAGGATGAAGGCCAGGCCAGGGTGGGGCTGTAAGGGTGAATGAATGAGTGAATGTGAGATGGTCCGGAGGTTGGCTTGACGAAACCCGGTGCCTGCCATGCTTCGGGGGTTGAGGGATC